TTTTTAGCCCACCATTAAAACCAATCAAGAAGAAGATGCTGAATTAGATGACTATAAACATACTGCATGCAGTGGGACCCTGGCTAAGTCAACTTGGAAATACAGTCTACACAAAGTGTAGCCTACAACATCACTACCCCACTTGCAACATCACATTTCACCACTGCCTTTCAGTTCCGTGTTATTTCCCTCTTTGCACTGCCTACACCCAATTCTTGGAGTCTAATATTTATCATTTCCTCTCCAGCCAGCTTTATCATTTTGTTTCTCTTTTTTTATTGGAATAAAACAGTAGACAGAGTGGACAACATGTAGCAGTGTTACAATTTAGAACTGAAGCAATTAGTCGGTCTCCTGACAAAATTATTCTGTAGCCTTTACAATAATAAATTAATATTTTCATTTCATTTTTCAAACAAAGATAGCAAAACAATGCCAAAGAGTTTTTTTTAACACTTTTATAACATGTATAGGCTAAATTAACCAGGAGATTATTCAATGATAAAAATATTTCTAGCAGAGTTACAATAAAAACAAAATAACAGTTTAAAGTGAACAAAGACTTAAAATACAAACACAATAGCAAATTGCAAAGCATTTGTAACTTTATTGAGTGCAGCTTTATGTAGAGCCCAAATCTGTCAGATTCTGAAGTTTTACTGGCACCGATGAACGCCTCTATCTTTAGATTTTTCACAATAAATTTATGGTAAAAAAAGGCAACTGGGTGCATTTATAATAGTTTTTGAGAAGTGAAGAGTCATTTCCTGTAAGGAAGTGCTATTTACTTGCTGATACTTGATGTGCATCTCTAAAGCCACATTATAGAGAAGAGAGGAGCGACCATGGATTCTCCAGCAGCAGCCTGTGGGCTTGTCATCCTTCTCTTGTCTGCCTTAGGTACTGTATAGTGTTTTAGACATATCACCAGTTTTAACTGAAATGAACTTATTATTATTCATTACTTCTAACTATAAGGTTTGTTCTGTTTTGCTAACAAAAATAACACCAGTGTATAAAATATAGAAGCCTAGAATACATTTAAACATAGATGATGTTTTTAGCTGTTACTACAATCTTAGGAAGCTTCTGTGAACATCTTTCAACTTTAAGTTTTTTGTTTGTTTGTTTGTTTTTGCTGTAAAAATGTGTCACCTTTATAAACAACATCTATCAGGTTTGCCACAGCCATCAGTCTACATGAAGGAGCAGACTGCAAACTGGAAACCATCTTTGCCTTCTATAGTGTTTCACACTATAAATATATATTAAAACAAATACAGCATTTTGGGAGGTGTACAACTTGTCACTGAGGGGCATATTTCTGTATTTTATTTATAATAGTGTGATGTGTCTTTGTTAAAGTCTCCCCTCACTGTAGAATGTATTTTGCTTATTGTTTCTTTATTTAGATGTTGAGCCCCGTTGTGCAGAATGACGTATGTGCAGAGTTTCACACCAGAATAGGGAACTTTCTCTAATCTGAGTCTAAGATGTGCACACGGTGATGATATTATCATGTACAGTTCAGCTTGTGCAAGTGACATGTGGAAACGTATAAAGTCGGGTGCACCTTCACTAAGACTAGACTTTTTAGTGAAGTAGCAGAAAATTTATAGTATTTTCAAAATCATGCTATTTCTAAATTTTCCATCAAAAGAGAAGAAGTTGGGTTTTTTTTGTTTTAACTTACCTAGTTGATTGAACATTTTTGATGAAGAAGCACAAATTAAAGACTATTTTTCTATGTGTTGACTGTGTAGAGGGGATGTTCAACTTTGTGTTTTGAAAAGTGCTAACGCTGTAGAGGAATATGTGCATTACTATTCTAAAACATGGCTGGACTCTGACAACATGTTCATGTTCACAGCAGGTCAGAGATTTGTCACCTCATTGCGAGTCTTCCCAGGTAACGTATAACGTATACGGAGAAGATTTCAGCCTAAGTGTTTGTATAAACTACAAGTACTGTGTACGCTGACGGTATAATCTAACTGTGTGTGTTATATGTGTATCACATCCTCAGATCTCCAAGTGCAAGTGAACTCACCATCAAGCTGCATATTTTTTAGTTGTACCTGGGCTGAACTAAAATGTGTCAGCACTCGTTATCTCCCTGATAGTGTGACCTATGTCTGGTACAAGAACGGAGAGGAGGTTCTGGGGACAACGTTGTCTTCTTATTCAGACTACTTTTATTTTGAAGACAGCTTTTCATGTGCTGTGAGAGGACATGAGCATCAGCGCTCTCCCTCTGTGTGTGAGTTCTCTTTATGGTCCTGCACTAACATAACCCCATCTGCTGGAGCCTCCTGGTTCCAGTCATCTTAGTGTGTTGTATCATGAAGGAATAGGCTTTTAGTATGATTCACCCCCACTTCCCTTTTCTGTATTAACACTGTGTGTTTCCCATTGAGCCCCAAAGCTACAACACCACATAATGTTTGCTCCCATACCAGAGAATAACTGAACAATTAAATACAGTATGCTGTACTGTAAAAGCGTCTTTATTTCAAAGTTAATGTGTGCTATATTACATATGATCTCTTCCAGATCCTCCAAAGCCTCCCTCAGTGTCAGTGAGTCCCTCTGCTGAGGTAGAGGAGGGCAGCTCAGTGACTCTGACCTGTAGCAGTGACGCTAACCCAGCAGCTAATTACACCTGGTACAAGAAGAATGGAAGTCCAGATGTTCATCCTCTTAGCAAACAGCTTGTCTTCAGCTCCATCCAGTCCTCTGACTCAGGACAGTATTACTGTACAGCTGAGAACACGTTGGGGATGAGAAGATCTGAATCCATCTCTATTAATGTACAAGGTACAAGGATGCTGTAAATCTGTTTCCTACATTTCTCAGTAATGGCCCACAGCTTGTGCTGAGGTGCATCCAACCCTGTGACTCAGGAGAGTATTACTGCAGAGCTAGGAATGACCTAGGGTGGAAGATGTCTAATGAACTGAAAGTAAAACACCTTAAACCTAAATAACCAAACCAAATAAATTGCTTAACATTGTCACTTTTATATGTTACAGAAATAATTGGTCAGAACATCACAGTCAAAAAAGAGGTGATCGCTGACATCATCATCATTATGACTTACTTAAATTACTTCATTACCATGTCATAAATCAGTGAGTGATTAAAGATAATAAATGAGCTCAGGTCAACAAGTCAACAATAATTGGAATTGATAATATAGTTTGAAGATTTATTTTAGAAGAGAAGTGAATTGAACAGCCAAAAACTAAAGAAAGAAGTTAAATTGTAATAAAGACAATTTCCTTGGGATACCATTTAAAAGAATATAAAATATAAAAAAGCTTCTTCTGGCTGTAGATTAACATTTTGTGGATAAACACAAGTTGTATCAATCTTCTCATTTACAGGCAACAGGAAAATACTTTAGCATATTTCCAATACTCTACTCAACTCTACTCTTTAACCTCACAAGGCTTTCTATAAATATGTAATGGGTATCATATAAAGAGATCTCCAACTACACACAGAGAAGCAAAGCCAGACTGGCGACCTGTCCAGGGTGGCCCCCGTCTCTCACCCAGTGTCAGCTTGGATTGGCTCCAGCCTCCCATGACCCTGTTCAGGAATGAGCGGTATAGATAAAGGATGGATGGATATTTACCAAAATGTAAAGATATTGCTTTAAGATTTTATAAAGGAAAGGGGGACCTGTTGTTCACTTCATTATTAAATCAGATCAAGTGGAGAAACTAGCATCTACACCTGTTCCCCTCCAGATCCTCCAAAACCTCCCTCAGTGTCTGTGAGTCCCTCTGCTGAGGTAGAGGAGGGCAGCTCAGTGACTCTGACCTGTAGCAGCGACGCTAACCCAGCAGCTAATTACACCTGGTACAAGGAGAAAGAAGAGTCACCAAAAGCTTCAGGACAGAACTTCACCATCACTGACTTCAGACCTGAACACAGTGGGAATTATT